ATCTCTGTTTTCTTCTTTTTCATTTGTAAATTTTTCTTTTTGTCCTTTTTTTTATTTTGATGGATGTAAATTTTTCTCATGCCTCATGCCATGCTTGGAACAGTAGTCTCTGAATTCTTTGGAGGTGTACTCCCCTCCATTATTTGTACGGAGACATTTCAACTTCAACCTTGTCTCCCTTTCCACTATAGCATGGTAATGTTGGAAATACTTGAAAACTTGGCTTTTATTCTACAACAAGTATACCCAAGTCTTCCGAGTTGCATCATCAATAAAGGTAACAAAATATTTATTGCCACCAAACGACTCTACCTCCAGGGGACCACAAACGTCAGAGTAGACCAGGTTTAGCTTGTTCTCCTTCCGAGTCAAATTCTTCTGAAAAGAAACTCGGTGTTGCTTTCCAAATAGGCAAACATCACAAGGATTCACATATTCACCTTTGGCCATAGGAATAAGGGACTGCTTAGCCAAAAGTTGCAATCCTTTCTCACTCATGTGAGCTAATCTATTATGCCATAAATTTGGAAAAGCCTCATCTTCAACTGTGTTCAGTTGACCTCCACACATTTTCATGTGTGTCTTGTATAATGAGCAACATGCTCTCCCTTTTGCCACAACCATTGATCCTTTGGTGAGTTTCCAGTTGCCATTCCCGAAGTAGTGTGTGTATCCTTCTTCATCCAGTGCTTTTGCAGACAATAGGTTCATACGCATATCAGGAACATGTCGCACATTTTTTAGTGTCAATGTGCACCAACATTTGTCTGGACACAGATATCACCAACACCCATAATATGAGAAACACTCTTGTTTCCCATTTTTATGGTGCCAAAGTCTCCTGCTTTGTATGATGAAAAATATTCCCTTTTGGGAACACAATGATAAGAGGCACCAGAATCAATTATCCACTCGGCATCCGAGTTTTCTACATGGCAGCACTCCCCACGATCACATAGTAGAGTCACATCACCGCCATTGGTAGATGCTACAGCGATTGTATTGCCATCTTCAACCTTTTTCTTGTCTTTTCCTTTCAACGAGTATCAATTCCTTTTCATGTGGCCTAGCTGGCCACAATGATAGCATTTCACTCCACTTTTGGACTTTGATCTGGATTTGCCTCCTCGTCCTCTAGGTTCTTTGGTTTTACTCCTGCCTCTATTCTCCATGACAAGAGCTTGAGTATCTGGTTGCGAGAAGACTCCAAGTGCCCACATCCTTTTTTCCTCTTCAAAGATCCTATTTTTGGCAATTTCCAATGTGACTTGACCACCAAGAGATGAGTTGATTGTTGTTGATCTAAAACTCTCCCATGATTCCGGCAAGGTATTGAGAAGAATCAGACCATTCACTTCATCATCAAAGTCTATGCCCAAATTGGCTAACTCCTTGATGATGCCAAGGAAA